GTTACTGTAACCCTGAACCTAGCTTGAAGTTCATTTTGCTTTACCATATTCCCTTGATATTTTTTCCTTCCACCTTACTTTATTTTTACTATTAATAAAACTTTTATTATCCTTGTCCTTTTCTCTGTTGTTGGTTTAATCCAGGTTCCCCCTCTCTCATTATTTTGGTAAGTGTGGGGTACTCTACCATCCCCCTCATACTTTCCTTCCAAATTCTGATACTAATAATCAAATATTCATTTCTCCACTGTTATATTTTTTAAAGGTGCTCACTATACCCCTCATGCACAGCCTTCCCATTTCCTCCCTGTCCCTCCTACATCACTTACTTTTACTTCTCCCAGCTACTTCCACTCCCCCCACTTTTAGGCATTGCTGAAATAATGCTTTTAAATCTAGACTAAGTTTTCTTTTGTAGTATACATCTCTACAACTTCTGAGGAATCCATGTTTAGCACATATATTATAATTTCCCTTCTATTTGATTGTTATTCATTTAGATTTAGTTATATATTTTAGAAATGTGTGTGAGTGTGTGCGTGTGCGTGTTTTACTAGTGTTTTCTCTACTCTTCATCTTCCCCTATCTTGAGACCTCTGATCTGGTTAAATTTTTTTCATTTAGAGTCATTTTTCTGTAATGTTACTTACTGATTTGTCATCTAAATTTTTGCATTTTCACAAATATTATTCTATACTGATAGATGAAGTGTGTCTGACTAGGTATAGGATTTGGGTGTTGCAAGCCTTTTTTCTCAGAGTACATTGATGTTAATCTACTGTTTTATAGTTTTTAGTGTTGTAGGTAAGAAATCCAAAGCCAATATTCTTTTTTTCTTAGTAAATCTAATCTTTCTGTCTGACAGTTTGTAAAATTTTATCTTTATCCTTGAAATTTATTTACATTCTTAGGTTTATACTCTTTTGTCAGTCTTAAACTAGATCCCAATCAGCTTCTAGTGCTTTAAATCAGTGAATGTTAGACATAGAAAGGACTTTAACTCAGTGAATATTAGACATGGAAAGGACCTAATCCAAATTTTCATTTTAAAAGTAAGGACAGTGAGACCCAAAAAAATGATGTTCATTTTTCAGTCATCTCAGCAGTAGAGACAACTTGATTCTAGGCCCTGACACACTCAAGCCTTCAGTTAACACTTCTGTTTTCTGTCACTGAGCATTAAAATTTTTAGCATTTAGCACTAAATCATTGCTTTTATATGTTTTTATGTAATATTGATACTCTCAAAGAACCATGTGTAGGTTACTTATTTCAAGTAAAAGTGGAAAGAAAGTGTTAGTAAATAAAGATAATACTAGTATTAGATTTATCTTTAAAAATGGTTAATCACTCTCCAAACCTAATTAAAACTATAGTTTTTAATGAATTAAGAATTAAATGATATCACAGTATCCCTTTAAGACCTGCTGCTCTTTGAGGAAAGGGAAGCAACTGATATATATATATATGTAAAGCTTAATCTGCTTAATTCCATATCCCTACCAGTGTCATTGGTGAGACTGTATTTCAAATGTAAAAAGTACAATTTATTGGATATTGATCATCACTATTTGGCATACACAAATTAGATACATATTCTTAGATAATAATGATAAATAGCTATTTTTCTAAAGATAATATAACAAAGTGTCTTTCACAGTGTGAATAACTACTGTAGTTTAAAAGAATAGTAAAATGAACATAAGTGACCTTGAATCTGTCACTGCCTTTGTGAATTTCATTGACCTCTCTTGTCCTGCCTACATAGTAGAATTGTAAAACTAACACATAAGTGTGAGAGTGTGTTGTTCTTTTAAAATGTGAGAATTACTGTCATTAATTTTATTTCTTAAATATCAATTGATATTATATATAGGAAATAGTGTCATATATAAGACATATAAGGTCATATTGTGTTTTCATTTTGCTCTCCTCTTTTTAAGAAAATTAATATGCTATGATCTCTGTTTAACAAAACATAAAATCAGGGATTATTTTTATCCTACTGTAATATCCATGATTATAATCTTTGCTACCTATTTTTTATCATTATTCAGAGTAATCTCAGTCTTAGAAAGCAAACTCAATTTTTATTTCTTAACAATAAAAAGGTTGAGGTGAATGAATATAAAATAAATACAGGAAAATATCAGCATTTGTCAGATCTGAGAGATGGATACATGGGTGTTACACTATTATCTTATGTTAGAAATATTTCATCATTTAGAATATATTATGACTCACAAGAAAGAGAGCAAATTTATGACTTAGCAGTCCTAAGTTATGTTTAATCAAATCTTATTTAGTTTTCATCTGAATATAGGATTCAGAATTATGTTGGTTTCATTCCCCAGAAATGTACTAACATGTCCACACACATACTTTTCTTGTCATCCCAGACGGATCCTCACCTGCTGCCTTAGCATCCTCTGTTTGATGCTTTTGCACAGTGGTCCATTCTGCTGAGAACTTTCCTATTATGACATGTCTTATGCCTGAAAAACAACAGACAATTACTCTACTTAGGCACTTGACAAGGAGGCAGAGGTTCTAATCCTAGCTCTGCCCTGTACTGCTCCACCTAGCCTTTAATATGCCATTTTGCCAGTCTGGATAACATTCTCCTTTTCTGTAAACTAGGGATAATTCATACCTGTTCAATCTACCTCAGAGATTTATTGTGAAATAACAAGTGGAGTTATATCATGCAATATAAATGAAGGTACAGATCCTCTGACAGTTGCCTCACTTTGCTGCCTATCCCTCTAAGCTATGATCTCTTACTAGACCTACGCAATGAAGGTAGAGTTAAAGAGGTAGGCAGAGGAAGTAGAGAAGCGCCAGCCCCAGAGTGCTCAGAACTGTGTTTGACTGACCCCCTAAGATCTTTCCTTTAAGATTCAGTGATTTTGTGAATCCACCAGCCTCAGAGTAGAAAGCAGCATTGAGCATATTCTTTGAAACATAATAAATTACAGTAAGGACTTGCTTGGTATAAAAGTCCTTTTAGTTTATTTCTGCAAATTAAAAAGTTTCCTTTGGAAAGTTGATGACTCTTCAGTTTTACAAAAACAGGAAAAAATTTTCCCAGATAATATGAAAACAATAAATAAGGAAACAAATCACTTAAAAGTATGCTTATTTGCAGCCATCAGCTAGCCTGTCCCAGGAGCTTTATCCATATACAAAGATGTCAATGTGTAAGTCACTGCACTTTGTTTCCAGTGACTTTACCACCCTGTAGTCAACATGCTACAAATGAAATATTGTTAAATTGGTGGAATTAGCTAATGTCTCTTTATACTAGCACAAAATTCTATTATGTGTTGATAATAGTCACTGTCCATTCACCTGAACCACAGTCCACATCACCCTGTGTTTGTAACGCTTTACCATTTTCTCCATAGGCCAACCATTTGGCTCAACTTCATGATCCAGCAAGGCAAAGGGACCAGAGTGCTGGGCATATAGTAATCAAGAATCCATCACATCCGTGTCTTAGAGTATTTCAATGCAGAGTATAATTTGCTTTTTTTCCTTAAAGCAAAATGAAAAAGATTGATGAAAAATCTGTTCAAAATACACAGTCCAAGAATACTTTAAATACACCCATTTTGAATATATTTCTTCCAAGATGTTCACCTAACCAAGTTAACTGCAAAATCCATTTCAGGGATTTTTTTTAGGTTTTTTTTTTTCTTTATTTTTTTTTAATGTTTACACATAAATCCTTCTTTTATCAAATGCCCAGGTATTTTTTGCTGCATAAGCAATTAACTGGATGAATTCAAAGGATCTCTGTGTTATAGATTGAACTTCATGTCAGCCATTTTTCAACTTTTACTACTGTTTTGTCTTCTTGGGAGTTCATTCACCAAAGCCAAGCAAACTCCAATATACTCATAGACAGACCAGTGCTTGGGGCACAGGAGAGTTCTGTCTAGATTCAGTAAAAGAACCTAATAGTAAATGGAACTATTTGGGCTGAAACCAGCCCTGGGTTATTGAGCCATTTGGACTTTTCAAATATAGTTCTATGAATGTATTTTAGGTCCAATCTATGATATTCTTCTATGTTAGTCATCAGTATTCTCCTAAATAAAAACTGCCAAATATGTTAGAGCTGAACTCTGCCAGGTTGTTGGGTATGTTTGTGTGATAACTTCTGTCAGTACTTCCAGTAATATCAACAGCCACAGCCAAACTTCCTTGAAAACTTGTTTTGTACAAGGTTTTATTCCATAAACTTATATGTACTGTTACTTAATCCACATAACAACCTTATAGAATCCCCACTTTATAGATGGAAAACTAAGGCAAAGAACAGTTAAACAACTTATCACTTTTCCAAGGTTCTACATCTCCCAGGTCATAGCACCAGGATTTAAACTCAGGCAGTCCGAGTTCAGAGCTCACAGTCTTAATCTCTGTGCTGCTCACCTCCCAACTTTGTCTTTTGTATAGACTCTTGGGTAGATCTCAGGTTTCTTTTCTTACCTCTGTCACTCCTGGATAAAATATGAAATGACGCTCTACTTAAAAATCAGCCCATTTCTTAAGGCCTAACCAAATTAAGTCATATTCCCTCTAAAGGGAATCAATCTCAAATTGAGTGATCAGTTTTCCTGGTATGCCTGAAATTTCCTAGGACATGTAACTTTCATGTTACAGGAAACTAAATCCAGGATATTCCTAGGCAAACTGGGAGGGTGAGACAGCCTACTTACACTTTACTGTGTCCCCTCATTATACCGCCTTGTTATATGGAGCAAAAAGCCCATGAAAGTACCAGTAACCACTACTTCTGCACTTACAAGTTTCTTTCTTCACAACAAGTTATGCTCCTACTGCATAGAGACCTTTTTGATTCCCACTTCATACAAAAGTTAGTGCTGTGCTCACGTTAATGCCTACTCACTGAACAGGTGGTTTAGTTTTCAGCAGGCACTATATATAAAAATTTTTCCTTGTGTGTTAATTTGTCTTTTTTTTTTTTCCAGCCCAGATGACTTACTCAATGCCTTGAATGAGGGTATCAGTCGTGCTGATGTCATCATCACATCAGGGGGTGTGTCCATGGGGGAAAAGGTATGAAAAAATGGGGTCCTTGAAACATAAGATTGATTAACAGTGGTCTGGTAGACATCTTGTATCCATAACCAGACCCCCACGAAGCTGGAAATCCACAGGGGTTCAGAAATTCCTGAGCGTTCTAAAAGGGATTCAGTACAATAGGTCAGACAGCTTACCATCTCAAATTAAATCCAGGAGTGAAGGTGCTAAAGTGTAGATATTAATAGGTATTCTCCATATAGCAGACAGATTGCTGGGATAGTCTTCCCTCAAAGTCTCCTAGAGATCTTGGGCAGATTGCTGCCATTTTCTCCCAAGATCACCATCACAAAGCCTAGGGGCTGAGGCCTGCATTGTCGCAAAGCTGTAAAAAATAATTTGCATTACCATCAAACTACCTGAGGGACTCTAAGCATCATCAGAGCAGACCCTGAGGTTAAGAGTACTTAAGTGTTATATTTATTATTTCTAGAGAGTGTTTCATGTAAAAGTTTTCTTGGTTGCTAATGAACTTAATTATGGGACAGTAACAGTTTGGCAGACCGAAAGTTTGTTTTTCCAGGACTTCTAAAGAGGCAGCAAGCTTGTAGTTAACATAAGCTTGGCAGTTGTGGCTCAGGTATGGTAAAACCAGAACACTCTCAATCTTAACCTTCTTTATTAGTGCTAACAAAGATGTCATTTATCCTAGGGATTTGCTCACAGGTAAACAGCCAATATAGTAAAGCCTATTGGTTTTGTTTATTTTACTCTCTGTGTAGTAAGATACTTACAGTAATCCTTTAATTTACTAAGAAAGTGATTTTAAGAACTGGGCGTCCCAGAGTATTCCATAGTGTTAGTTGCTCAGTCGTGCCCGAATCTTTGTGACCCTATGGCCTGTAGCTTGACAGGCTCCTCTGTCCATGGAATTCTCTAGGCAAGAATACTAGAGTGGGTTGCCATTCCCTTCTCCAGGGGATCTTCCCGACCCGGGATTTGAACCCAGGGCTCCTACATTGAAGGCAGACTATTTACCTTTTGAGCCACCAAGAACTAATAATTGTCCTTCCTACCTCCTTGAGGGGGAATGAGATGAGAGAAGAACCAGGAAGAAAGAGATAAAGCATCAATGCAGCAATCTCCTGCCAGCCTGCAAGCTCTAGTCCTCAAAAGAATTCCCGTGTACTTCAGTAGCAGAAAGAAAGAAAAGTATAAGAGAGAGAAGATCTGTTTTAGCCCAAGGGCTGAGTCTGAAAATCACTCACTGAAAACACAGGGAAGTAAGTCAAAGAAAGATCCAGAAGCATTATGTAGCAGACATGAATTTTAAGTACAGAAACTCAGGTATACAAGAGATTTATTTACTTGTTTAAACTTATGAGCACCTATGCTATGGAATTGGCAGGAAATTTACTTAATGCACTACAGAATTAATTGCCTCCAGGAATTATACCAAAAAACAGACAGGGGCTTGAGAGGTAGCAGGGCATCAAGGAGATACATGTCTGGTCACCAGTCTTCACTGGATACATCTAGAGTGTCCTTGTCATGTTACTGTATATCTCAGGTCTTTGCTATTTTGGGGCCATACTAATAGCCCTGAGATCAAGGGGGAGGGTGGAAGCCTTAGAGCAGAGGGAAGGGGCCCCTGCCACATGTGGGACCCACAGACCTTGAACCTCTTCTCAGCCAAGGAAAAATGACTCTTCACAGTTGCTTCCTTTAAAATCTCTCCCCAGCCCCACCTCTTCCTGCTCCACATAGCCTTTTCATAAAATTTTCATTTTTTATGTATCTGCTTTTTGCCCTAAAAGCTAAGGAACTATATGCATTACTATAAATTCTCCACCACCTACAGAATTGTGAAATAGATCAAAGGCAATGAAAGGTATAGATGACCATTAAAGATACCCTAGACTGAACACCCAGTAATTGTTTCTTCCTATTTCAAAGCCTCTTGATTCTTCCTAGGGCTTCCCTTGTGACTCAGCTGGTAAAGAATCCACCTGCAATGTGGGAGACCTGGGTTCGATCCCTGGGTTGGGAAGATCCCCTGGAGAAGGGAAAGGCTGCCCACTCCAGTATTCTGACCTGGAGAATTCCATGGACTCTATTGTCCATGGGTTTGCAAAGAGTCGGACACAATTGAGCGACTTTCACTTTCAATTCTTCCTAACAGTGTCTCCCTCACCCCACATGATCAGAAAAAAGGGCTGGTCTCATGGGTTTGCCCTGATTATTTAGCACCAAAGGTATTAATTAATCATATAGGTCACCTTGAGTATGGCTCCTAGGGCCATAAAGCAGTAGAATATTAAAACTAATTAACAGTATTCCAAACAAACAATTTGTTAAAATAATTTTTTGTCTCTCTTATTTCATTTAGTCCTGTGTTTCTTATTCTGCAAGATCTTGGCTTAGCAGTCTGCTTTCTTAAAACCTTCTGCTTCCATTCTAGAGTGTCCTGGGTTTCCTGACTCAGTCCACTGGTACTGTATAAAAGTGATCTAAGCTGTATCACCTCAGAGGTCTATACCCTAGAGACTAGTCTCTGAAGCATCAATTGTTCAAAATTCCTATGATGGTCCTTTTTCCTAGTGCTCTGGATCTGTCTTTGTTGTAGACACAGACTATTTACTATAGCTTACAGCAGTGCCTTCAGACCAGCATCAAAGCAAAACAGTAACTGTCCTTAGAAAATAAATATTAAAAGATACAAAAGTAAGACTCTCTATTTGGATACAATATGTAATAATTTCATAAAAAATTTTGGTCAGTGTGTTCCATGCAGGTGAAAACACATCATTGACAGTATAAGCACTGTCAAATCACCAGACAGACACTTCCCATAAAGCATATAATTTCTGAAATATTATATTAATGACATTTTACCTGCCTGATTCTAACCTAGCACACAGTGAGCCTCTCTTCTCAGATTAACAGTAACTTCCTTTCCATGAAATGCTTATAATGGTAACATCAAACAAACCTATTTCTAATGTCTCTTTTTATAAGATAAAAGAACAAACCTTCATGACTTTCTGGGAGCCTTCTAGGAAATTTCAAACATAGTTTTAGACTTAAAAAATATTCTGCAATTTTTTTTTTCTATATTTTGGTCTGATCTTTAGAAGGCAAAATCAAGAGAGTTGTCCAAAAAAAAAATGGGCCCTTGATTAAGATCATGGATATCTAAGAAACAGTTCTTGGTTACCTAATTTTTCAAAGCAACAATAAAATATTTGAAAACAAGCATAGAGAACCTGCTTGCTATGCTTTTTTATTTCCTTAAATAATCCAAGACAAAATAAAGTAAACAAAAAGGCAGATTACACAAAAAGAAAAACACTACATATCATAGGGAAAGCATTAGTCAGTAAACCCAAGAAGTAAGCTCGTCAAAACTGAGTAAACTTACTAAAATTTTAATATATTTCTCAGCTTCATTTCAAACACAGTTATTATAAACCAAGGCAAATCAAAGTCACTTTCAGAGTTTTATCCTTTATTATGCTTTTTTTTAATGTTTTGGAACAACCTGACACTTTACTTTAGAACTAAGAGTGGTCTGCAGATCCAAGAGTGTCCTTGAGATTCTTTAAGCAGGTCTGCAAGGTTAAAACTATCCTTATAATAAAACTAAGTCTTTATCTGACTTTTTTATTTTCCTTCTCTCATGAGTGAGTAGCAAGTTTTCCAGTATTGGAAGATGTATGATCTCATCAGACTGAATACTGAAGCAAATAAGAGAATCTACCTGATTTCTCTTAAGCTGAACATTAAAGAGAGTTTTTAATTATAAAATACATAAACAATAAATTACTTACGTTAACATGAAGTAGTTCATCATTGCTATTTCCAGATGAACCACCAAATAAATTCTTTTGACTTCTTAGTTTTAATTTCTGACACAGTAAACATTGATAGACATAAGCCACATACATAAACAAAAGCTCCATAATATATAATATTATAAAGGGTCCTGAGACCAAATATTTTGAATATTGGATGTCTTTAATTTTTGTCCTTGAAAAATGAAAGAACATGCATAATTATACTTGTCTGTCATTATTACTCCAACATTTAAGAAAATAACTAATGTCTATCTCATAGTGAAAACTAGGGGACATAGATAATTGATAAATCATATGTAAGCATTTTAGCAGACTAGCCAAGTTCATATACACACAGAATACAGCTTTGTAGAGCAGACACATCCCCTTTTTTACCTTCTTAATGGAGCAAAAATGAAAATATATTCATTAACACAACCCAAAGATATATCCTCCCTATGGCATATTAAAATAATAGGCAAAGTAAATTAGCTTAAAGTTATGTTTAGTAAACAGTGATCCAGTGTTCTGAATTACTTAGAAATCATCTAGGTTTCCCATGATTGTTCATTAATTAACCAGTTTAATAACATCAAGATTTTAAATTACTTAAAGATCTTGAAAATTATTTTCAAGCTAACATTCTACAAACATAATTACTATTGAAATTAAAAGTTGTCAGAATAATGATTCAATTTCATTGAACCAAATTTTAGATTTTCACAATCTTAAGCATTATATAAGAATAGCATTAGCTTCTTTGGTGAACTAATCTATATAATTTTAGGAAAAAACAAACCCAGGCAAAATGCATTTGCCTACTTAACACTGATAAATAAGAGAAAGAGCATGGCTGGATTTACTTATTAACCAAAATAATTAAGCTAGTCTCATTTACCAAAGGTTTACCTTAACTGTGTGAACTTTGACTCTTAAAATTGTAAGAAGAATATTTTTTTAGCATAGCATATTTAAAAGATTATAAGATAAATTTTCTTATTATCTGTGAATTTTTGGAATATTCTGTTTATGTAAATACTTAATCTCTCTAAATCAATCAGAATAGAGCACCTTTAATTTAAGAGACGATAGAAGTGTTTTGGTGTGTTGGTTTTTCTCCCCTCTGGCAAAGCAAAGTTTATTGTAGGCCTGTGGTCAGGGCTGTTCTCTCCTAGCCCTGGTGAAACCAGAGTTGGGAAT